ATCATCTCTATAAGCATCATCGGTCATGATATCTCCCAAGATTTGATTTGGTGTCATTGTATCCAAACCGGACCTTACTAGAATAGTGACCAATGTACCAAATCTTGAGGGTAAGCATCTCAAGAACTTATTTGAGAATTCCTTGTCCTCTATCTTCTCACCAAGTGCCTTGAGATCATTTACAATCACTTTCATCCGATGGAACATGTCCGGCACACTCTCATCTTCCTTCATCTTGAAACTAGCAAATTTATCCTTGAGAATGTATGCCTTTGCACCCTTGATTGCCTTGGTGCCCTCAAATGATTCCTCCAATTTCTTCCATGCCTCATGAGCTCTCTCAATGTTCTTGATTTGCTCAAATGTTCTCTCATCCAAAGCATCATGGATGGCACTAAGAGCAATGTCATTATTTTGGAGTAGCAATTCTTCGGCGGCGGTGGGAGCCTCTTCATCTTCTATCTCAATTTTTGTTTCTACCACCTTCCAAATTTTCCTATTGATTGACTTGATATATGTTGTCATCTTAGCCTTCCAATAGGGATAATTTGAGCCATCAAATTGGGGTGGCTTCTTGGTGTTGTTGATTTGAGCCATTTTTACACCGAAGGTTATTAAGCCTCAAATCATGGTGACCTCGGCTCTGATACCACTTGAAAGATCCTAATGGCTAGAGGGGGGTGAATAGCCTAATAAAATTTCTACAACAACACTTAACTAAAGAATTAGACAATTATGAGGCGAAGCGAGTTATGCGCTAGCCTACCAAAATGCAAGCCACCTACCACAATTCTAGTTTAGATGAAGTATATCCACACAATAGCTATATCACTACACTAAGTTAGTGTGCTCTCAAAAGCTAACTAAAGAGCCACACTAACCAAACTAACAAGCTCTTACAACTAGTTATACTAAAAAGCTTGACAACTAGTTTGCGGTAATATAATGAGTAGGCAAGAAGGTTATACCGCCGTGTAGATGTATGAACCAATCAATCACAAGTGTGGATAACAATGAAGACCAATCACCTCGGAATCAATGATGAACACAATGATTTTTTACCGAGGTTCACTTGCTTGCCGGCAAGCTAGTCCTCGTTGTGGCGATTCACTCACTTGGAGGTTCACGCGCTAATTGGCTTCACACGCCAAACCCTCAATAGGGTGCCGCACAACCAACACAAGATGATGATCACACAAGCCACGAGCAATCCACTAGAGTATCTTTTGGCGCTCCGCCGGGGAAAGGTCAAGAACCCCTCACAATCACCACGATCGGAGCCGGAGACCATCACCACCATCAGCTCAACGATCCTCGCTGCTCCAAGCCGTATAGGTGGCGGCAACCACCAAGAGTAACAAGTGAAATCCGCAGCGAAACACGAACACCAAGTGCCTCTAGATGCAAACACTCAAGCAATGCACTTGGATTCTCTCCCAATCTCACAAAGATGTTTAATCTATGATGAAAATGAGTGGGAGGGCTTTGGCTAAACTCACAAGGTTGCTATGTCAATGAAAATGGCCAAGAGAGTGAGCTTGACCCGGCCATGGGGCTTAAATAGAAGCCCCCACGAAATAGAGCCGTTGTACCCCTTCACTGGGCACAACGCGGGGTGACCGGACGCTCCGGTCCGATCGACCGGACGCTGGCCCTCAGCGTCCGGTCACGTGATTCACGCCACGTGTCCCCTGCTTCAAATGCTGTTCGTCAGATTTCAACGGTCGTCTGCTGACCGGACGCGTCAGTTAGAAAGTGACCGGACGCTGGACATCAACGTCCGGTCATTTCCAGTAAGGTTCCAAACACGATTTTTCTCGACCGGACGCGTCTGGTCATGCTTGACCGGACACAGTCAGCGTCCGGTCACACAACGTCTCCTCTGTATGCCCTACGTCAGCGTACGTCAGCACTGACCGGACGTACCCCGCTAGCGTCCGGTCGTAGAGCGACCCAGCGTCCGGTCATAAGACCGAAACGTACACCTTCTGCTGCCACTGACCGGACGCGCCGGTCCAAACAAGACCAGCGTCCGGTCACTTACAGTGACCTCTGTCTTTTCTGTCTAGGGCGCCGGTGGCACCGTCGGACTGTCCGCACTCTACGGGCGGACACTCCACCGGTGGAGTTTCTTACCCTTGCACCTAAACTTCACCACCCTTGATCAAATGTGCCAACCACCAAGTGTATCACCTGTGCACATGTGTTAGCATATATTCTTAAACATTTTCAAAGGTGTTAGCACTCCACTAGATCCTAAATGCATATGCAATGAGTTAGAGCATCTAGTGACACTTTGATAACCGCATTCCGATACGAGTTTCACCCCTCTTAATAGTACGGCTATCAATCCTAAATGTGATCACACTCTCTAAGTGTCTTGATCACCAAAACAAAATAGCTCTTACAAATTATACCTTTGCCTTGAGCTTTTTGTTTTTCTCTTTCTTCTTTCTAAGTCGAAGCACTTGATCATCACAATGCTATCATCTTTATCATGCTATGATCTTCATTTGCTTCACCACTTGGAGTGTGCTACCTATCTCATGATCACTTGATAAACTAGGTTAGCACTTAGGGTTTCATCAATTCACAAAAACCAAACTAGAGCTTTCAATATCGCAAAAGCATACTTAGAAAAGATTCTAGAGAAATAAAGTATGCATGCGAATAAACCTACGCCTGCTCCTATAGTCAATGGTTATAGATTTGGGAACTTTAAGTGTTCCAGAAACCGATATGAGATCGATCGAATGAACATAGTTCCATATGCCAAGATACCGGAACCCTAGCCTGCCACCATTGTCACCGTCGTTGCCCTGCCGTCCTGCAGAAGCCCCTCTAGAGGGGCAGCAGCCGCACAGCTACGTCGGCCGCTAGCCCCTCCGATCGGGCAACGTGCTGGGTCAGCCAAACCTTGCCGCACGTGTCACAGTGCCGCACACCGAAGCCGTCGCCGCTGCTGACCTCCGCTAGGCGCATGCCCCACCACCGCGGGCGCCGGATCTAGCCACCAGGACGCCGGACCCAGTGCCCTCCACCAGCGTCGCTGCCTCCACCATGGCTACCACCGCGGGCGCCCTCTCCCTGGGACGCCGGAACGGCCTCCAGGGCACCAGATCCGCTCTCCCGGGCCCAGGACCCATCGGCCCCGGCCCACGCCGCAACCGCTGCCATGGTTGAGGAGGAAAGGAGGAAGCGAAGGAGGAAGAACAAGAGCCCCCCAATGCCTGCACGTGCACTGGCCGGCCGCCGCAACCACAGCGGGCGGCCCCGCCGAGCCCCACGTGGCTCGCTGCTGCTCACGCCGCCACCACCGCCGAGTGCGAGGAAGAGCCCCGCCCTTGACGCCCTTGGCCAACGCAGTCGCCTCTGCACGCATCCCAAGGCGCGGCGCCCGCTGCTGTGGATGCACCCTGCAGATCCGGCACCGTTCCCGGCGCCTAGGCCTAGAGCCACCGCCGCCACCGTGGGCGCCGTCCAGTGCCCGCCCAGGCGCGGCCCGTCGCAGCACCCGCAGATCCGGACGCCAGGGCAAGGGAGCCGCCCTGGGCCGCCGCTGCCGCCACCGGCGAAGCCCTCAGGCCGGCACAGCACCCAGCAGTGGCCCGCGCCGCCGCACGCCTGGCGATTTGAACCTACGTAGTTTTCATCCCACGTTGGCTTCACATCGCATTTTGATTTCTTCTGCTGGATGGACCGGTCACTAATTAGTGTTCTGCTGCCTTTGTACGTGTGACGACTGCATTGTTAAAAAAAATAAAAAATCGGCAGCAACGTGTATGACGTAACACTAGTCTTCGTCAAGTACTTTCCAGTTGTTCAATCATATCAATTGACCATAACCACCACCGCCTGATGCCCGCAAAGTTTTCTCAGAAGAAAGAAGAGCTACTCCTTATCGTGACACTTGCGCACTCCCACACTGTGCAGCCTGACTTCTCACTTCTCAGGCAAGGCTGGCAAACCTTATCGTGACACTAGTGGATGATTCCGATGCGTAAGCTTTTTCCAAAATGGAGATAGGTAACTTTTTTTTAAAAAGTTGTCGATGAATGATTACAGTCCACCAAATTGATGATCTTTTTTAGAATTTCTAGGATTTACTTGCTTCTAGTAAGCAGTGGCGAAGCTTGAGGGCGGCCTCATTAAATTTGACTAAAAATGTATGAACAATAGCCATGTTACCGTTTATTTAATGGAGAATTACTGATGGCACGGGTGGCCAGGGCCCCTTTTGCCCCAACTAAGCTCCACCCCTGCTCGTAAGCGTTAACATGGAAATTCTAGAGAAATCTCCAATTGCTTAATTAGTAGTAGTATATGACAGTTCGATATACAGTTGGTGTATTTAACCAGCCCTCCTATATTACGCTCATGTCCGTACATGTACTTGCGCACCATTTTTGATAGGGCTGATAGCTTGCTACTCTCTCTATTTTAAATTATAAATCGTTTTAATTTTTTAGTATATTATTTTGCTGTACGTATCTAAGTATACACTATGTCTAAAATATATTAAAAACAATATATTTAAAAAAACTAAAACGATTTATAATTTCAAACGAAACCACGGACAGAGTAGGTCCCCAGCTTCCATGCATGGTTGTTCTTTCGGCAGATTGCATTATTCTATATTTCCTGTGTGCCTTTTGAATTGGAAAAATGTGTAGAGCTACTGAGGTAGACTGAGCAACGTTTCTAGCACGCATGCACGACTCGCCTTTCCGGTCTCGATCTATGTGTGAAAGTGAAACAACACTTCCTAACAATGCTCTGAGAATAGACTGAACCAACGACCACGCCCATGAGCAAATCAAAGAAAGCGACCAGAGTGCTTCATACGTTTCAAAATTCATTCAAATAGAGAGCACGTAGTCATCACTATATATACACACGTAAACATAAACCCAACTCGATCTCCACCACCACAGCATATCCCAGTGCATGCAACCAGCCCTAGCAACAAAATACACGTATAGTAAATCCTAAACACTACGATGGCGATCCTCCACACAAATTTATTGAAGTTGCTATGCACACTAACACTAAGGCTAGTAACCATTCTCTTGTTGCTCGTCGTCGTCGTGCACGCGGGCGGCACCGCGGAGCATCACGGCGGTCAGCTGTCGTCGTCGTCTCTAAGGTCCCAGAAAGAAGCCCTCCTCCGGTGGAAGTCGACCCTGCAGCAAAGCAGCAGCAGGGCGCACGCACTGGACTCATGGCAGCCAGGTTCTAGCCCGTGCAACGGCAACTGGACGGGCATCGCCTGCAGCGTCGTCCACGTCCACGGTGGCCACCGCTGGCGCCGCGCACCCCTGGCTGCGGTCACCAGCATGTCGCTGCCAGAGGCCGGCATCAGTGGAAGCCTCGGTGAGCTCAACTTCTCCGCCCTCCCGTTCCTCCGGTTCATCAACCTCAGCTACAACAGCCTTGCCGGAGGAATCCCCCCAGCCATCACGTCGCTAACCACACTTTCCTACCTCGACCTCACTAGCAACTCGCTCCACGGACAGATACCACCGGAGATCGGTCGCATGGAACGCCTCCGGCTGCTGTGGCTCGCCCTCAACAACCTCACAGGCTACATCCCCGCGTCCCTCGGGAACCTGACCATGCTGACTGACCTCAGCGTCCTCCAAAACATGCTTGTCGGGACCATCCCGGACGAGCTCGGGAAGCTCACGCACCTAGAGGCCATGGAGCTCAGCGGCACCTTGTTGAGCGGCGCAATACCAGATAGCATAGGCAACCTGACCAGACTACGCCTCCTGCACCTCTACGAAAACCAGCTGTCAGGGCCCATTCCATCCTCTCTAGGCAACCTCCTCAACCTTGTTGATCTTGAGCTCACCGGGAATCGCTTGAGCGGCGGAATTCCAGTCTCGCTGGCAAATCTCACTCAGCTCCAGTTGCTTTACCTCTCCGTCAATCAGCTCACAGGTCCAATCCCCCAGCAGGTAGGGTTGATGGAAAACCTAAGCCAGCTATCTCTATATACAAACCGGCTAGGAGGCCCGATTCCGCCTAGCTTGGGGAACGCAACCTGGCTAAACTACATTAACCTCTGCGATAACCAGTTTGTGGGGCCCATCCCTAGTGAGATTGGCTATTTGACGGGTCTCACTGACTTGTATCTATGCCAAAACCTCATTTCAGGCTCAATTCCTGCTAGCCTTGCCAACATCACGGGCATGAGAGAGCTACTTCTCTTCTACAACAAGCTGTCAGGTCCGCTGCCTCGAGAATTTTATCCTATCCTCACCCAGTTGGATGTGATCAATCTGAGCAACAACTCCCTCTCAGGCAATTGCCATCTGATGTGTGCAAAGGGGAATAATCTTTGGGAGTTCATCGTCGCCTCTAACATGTTCACTGGCCCTATCCGAGAGGCCTGCAAAATTGCAGGACCCTACAGAGACTTGACCTATCTTCTAACAAGCTTATAGGGACATATCAGATTTTGGGCCGTATCCACACCTCACTCAAGTAAGCTTCTGGGGAAACAATCTTCACGGGCATTTGTCAAAATCCTGGGGTTCAAGCACTAATTTGACCACGTTGGTTATGGCAAAAAACATGTTAACGGGAAGCTTGCCACCTGAAATATCAAACCTAGTGAAGCTAGAGGTACTTATGCTCTACGGCAACAAACTAACAGGCAAGATACCACCAGAACTAGGCAACCTAGCCAACCTGTACATGCTCAGCTTATCGGGAAACGAATTTTCAGGTGATATACCACCTGAATTTGGCCAGATGAGTAATCTGCAGTTTCTCGATATATCTATGAATAAGTTAAATGGGTCAGTACCGCAGGAGCTTGGGAGTTGCACTGAGCTGCTATCATTGCTTATGAATCACAACAGCTTGAGCGGAGAATTGCCGGTGTCCTTGGGTAATCTTGGGAACCTGCAGCTTGTGCTGGATTTGAGCAATAACAATTTCACAGGCGCACTTCCTGTGCAGCTCGGGAGCTTAGTTAAGCTGGAGGTACTAAACCTCTCCCACAACCAATTCGATGGAACCATTCCACCCTCCTTCGCTGACATGGCTAGTTTGTCGGCACTTGACGTGTCATACAACAACTTGGAAGGGCCTCTTCCAATAGGGCGACTATTTCATAATGCCTCCATAGGATGGTTCCTCCATAATAACGGCCTCTGTGGCAATCTCTCAGGCCTTCCAACATGCGCTTCAGCTATGGATTTGGAGCATCATGACAGAAGAATTCGCAGATTGGCATTAGCTATTTCCATTCCTTTGTGCATAGTCGTTGTGCTCACATTTTTAGGAGTTGTTATGATTATTCACAAGAGAAAAAGACCGCACGACAACACGACCGCTGTAGATACAAGAGATGTGCTTTCAGTGTGGAATTTCGATGGGAAACTAGCATTTGAGGATATCATTAGGGCAACAGAAAATTTCAGTGAGAGTTACATCATTGGATCAGGTGGGTATGGCACCGTCTATAAAGCTCAGCTTCAAGGGGGGAGACTGGTTGCAGTAAAAAGGCTTCATAAAACTGAAGAAGACAATATGAATGATGAAAAGAGATTCATAAGCGAAATCGAGGTGTTGACAAAGATACGGCACCGAAGCATCGTTAAGCTATATGGGTATTGCTCCCATCAGTTGTACAGATTTCTAGTTTATGATTACATTGATAGAGGAAGTCTTCATGCAACCTTGGAGAACGAGGAGCTAGCAAAGGAATTGAACTGGCAGAGGCGAGTTGCCATTGCTAGAGACGTGGCTCAAGCTATGTACTATTTGCACCATGAATGCAACCCGCCAATAATCCACCGTGACATTACAAGTAGCAACATATTGATCGATGCACATTTCAAAGCTTGTGTTTCAGATTTTGGCACAGCAAGGATTATAAAACCTGATTCATCGAATTGGAGTGAATTAGCAGGGACATATGGTTATATAGCCCCAGGTATGTGGCTTGCTTTAATTCTACTTGCATGTTGCATACTTGTTAGAAATAAGCTTCACAAAACTGTGACTATATATTGGTACCTAAAATTTATTAGAAGACTGTAACATATGGAATTAGTTTCATACTACTACAGCTACCTTTTTAGTTTGGTGCCATTACTACAAGTTTGCATACAACTACAACTTTTACTCAACGTTTCACAATAGAAAGTTGTCCTTTTGCATTACTAGGGTAAGAAAAAGTAGTATGGTTCTATATATGAAACTACTCCCATAATTTGTAATTATTTTAATAGTTAGGTGTAAATAATTGTAGATTTATGAGATTTTTCTATATTATTCTTTACTTGACTCTAATTCTTTTATTTTTTTTTATGTAGAGCTTTCATACACATCAGTGGTGACAACAAAGTGCGATGTCTACAGCTTTGGTGTAGTTGTGCTTGAGATTGTGATGGGAAGATACCCTAGGGAACTTCAGACCCTTCCTTCCATTGAGATTGCAATGGAAATGTTGGACCAGCGAACACCATTGCCAACAATGGAGGAGGTAGAAGAAATCGCTTTGCTTGTCCAATTGGCATTTGCTTGCATGCAAACTTCTCCTCGCTCAAGACCAGAAATGCAGGATGTCTATCAGAAACTGACTCGCCACCCCTTCTCATGATGTTGCCATATTTCTTATGCACTTACTCTGGAAAAGTAACACAAGAACATGCCAAAGATTAGCAGTTTAGGGTTTGATAACCTGAGACTTGTATTATTTAACCCCAATCTGTAGACATAATACTATAGTGGCACTGGATAAAGCCCAACGAGATAGTGTCTGGCGTGGCCACCGTAATGCATCAAAGCAACATCATATAACTATAGATTTTATTTGTTGAACCTTTTCTATTTTCTATACATATTTTTTTCTTGTGAATTACTGGAGATGTGTAATGACTTGCACCCTATGTCTAGATATCTGAATTACACATGCATATCAAAATTCAAAAGCGTTGTGTCGCCTATCACGCACAAAGATATGAGTGCGCTAGGGCGACTCCCTGTCACCGATGCTTTTCATGTTGTCTATGCAAGTGCTCACTAGATTGTTCGCCGAGGCGAGATCAGATAGGGTGTCAAAGGGGCATGGAAACGAAGGGAGTCAAACATCAGTGCAACCTATATGCAGATGATGTCATTCACAATTAGCATCGGCGATCAAGGACATACTCCACATTTTTGGAGACTCTTCTGGGTTATGAGCCAACCTTGGCAAGTGTTCAGTGACCTTGATCTTTAGAAGTGAGGACAATCTACTAGGCATCAGATATATATCGTTAGCTAAATCTCAGATTTCCCCATTCACTAACCTTGGCTTGCCGCTGAGCTCAAGGGCAATCCCCACAACACATTTGCATGCATCGATAGATGCAGTCACGCGGAAGCTTATTATGGTGAGGAGCTAGGTCTGGGTGAAATCAGTCCTCTCTCCATAGCACAAATATACACCTTGCTCACTGACAATTACCTCTCTAGATCCACATGGAAATTAAACGGATGCAATCCACCGCCTGTTCCTCTAGATGAGCAAGGAAGGTTGAGTCCAAGGCAAATGTACGGTGGCATGGACTACGGTTGCCGACCAAAGGAGCTAGCTAGGTGGACTCGACGTCACCAATCTTAGGCTCCCTAGGATCGCCCCATAGACACAGTGGCTATGGCTCCAACGAACCGATGCAGACAGAACATGGACAGAGCTCAATCAAGTCATGTCCAAAATTCTAAGCCTTTTTCTTTTTGCGAATGAGTTCTAAGCTTTTTACGCACCTTGACATTCACCATAGTCAACAATGGTCAGTATATGAATACCAAGTTATCTATAATATCTGGATTCTAAAATCCCTAGCAAGAATCCAAAATTCTTAAAATCTCTTTGGGATTCAAACGACACCAAAGTTGTATGCATTCTTGATCTCGAACAGTAGTTTCTTTGGTTCTCTTGGCCTCTTGGCCCCACTGCCCACAGATTTTGGTGCACACAGCTTGTGCTTGCGAGAGAATCTCTCCACGGTTCACGCGGTCACGCCCATGGATTTGTTGGGCTCCGTGACTCCACCAAAATTCATCGGTTGTTTCTCTCAAGTCTCAGGTCTTCTTTGCTGATCGATCAAAAAGAAAGAAAAAAGTCTTCTTTACTGATGACCGGCGCTCTGAAGTTTCTGACAAATCTGGCTTAAAATAGAATGATTTGATTTGATTTGTCAAGCAAGACAATACAAACAATATACTAGTACTATTTATATTTATACAGAAACAAAGGATGTCATCGTCAACGAAGCATATTGTTTCTGTTCTGGGCCGTCAACGGTCAACGAAGCCGGCCGTCCTTCAAAATCAGAGCTCCCACGCGCGACCTCCCGTCCTCCCCGCTCTCCAGTCTCCACTCCCAGGCCAGGCGGCACCCGTCCGGAGCTCGCTTAGAGGGCAGCGGCACGCGATGGGGTGGGCGGCGCGGTTCCTGACGGCGGTGTCGTTCCTGGCCGCGGGGGTCCTCTTCGCGCCCGACGCGCTGGGCGCCGGCGGCGGCGCCGGCGCCGCGGCGGCCGCGAGGCTGGTCCACGTCCTCGCCTTCGCCACCGCCTGGGGCGCCGGGCTCTGGGTCACCTTCGTCGGCGGCATCGTCATGTTCAAGTAAGCAAAGCGCACTAAGCAAACGCCGCCGCGTCGATTCGCTGGGACTTGGGGTTTTGTTTTCTGCTAGCTTCATTCGAGGAGGAAGCGAAGCATCACTCCCGCGCCGAGCCCTCCTCTACCTCGCCGTCGGCGTGCTCCAGCATTCGCCCAGCCGCCCGCCAGGCGCCGGGATCCAGCGACGGCGAGAGGTTAAGTCCAAAACACTAGGGGCTTTTCTGTAAATCAGGGGCTTATATGCAAAACCACCGCGGCGACGGCGAGTCGGCGATGGCTTCCGGCGGACTGGGACGTCTTCTTCCTCTCCACGGCCACTCCGTGTCGTCCCTCCCTCTCCGGCATCGGCTTCACCGTTCTCGGAGCGCCGAGTCTTCAACACCCACCGGCCACAGCACTCGCACCGTAGTCAGAGGAAGGTTGGGAGACGGGGAGAGATGCGTTCCACCTGTCTTCCTTGCCGATGCCACTTCAGTACTTCACCGAAGCCTCAAAATCCAAGATAAGCCCCTGATTTTGATGTGCTGCTGCTGTCAGCAGCGATTCAAAATCAATTTCATATTTTCAGTGCACAGCACACATTCTTGGAAGAACATTGAGGGAAACTCAGTCTTTCAGATGCTGATTTTGAACTATGGATGTAAGATGAGAAGCAGCAGGAATCTTTCTTTAGAATTATATGACTTCTAGTTGCATGGGTCTTTGCTCCTCGCGAATTCACTGGATCAGCGTCTTAGTTTGGTAACTATTAGTCCTGAAAAATCACACTGCAAAAATAGGACTTGCACCTTGAAGATATGTTGGGAAGGAGAATTGGGATGCCTGGAGTACTCTTATGTCATATCGAGACAGCTCTTACTCTTAGGTATAAGACTATAAGCTTGTGTACTCCATTAAACATTCTGAAAGTTCAGCCTCCATCGTTTTCTCATTAAACATTCTGAAAGTTCAGACGTTTTCTCATTAAACATTCTCAAAGTTCAGCCTCCATCGCTGCCTTTTTCAAGGAAGTGGAGTGGTTTTCTTATTTGTTGCTTACATATTAGGATTTTTGAGTAATATACAGTGCAGTCTTAGAGTCTAGAAGCAATTCCTTTTGCTCAGCTGTTGAAATATCCTTCAATAAATTTTTACACAGTGCTGATATAACACTTTGTTATAGTGAGAACTAAGAAGTCCAGCGGAAAAGTAAAGTCTAGCATATATGTTCTTGTTGCAATAGCACCATGTGCGGTTCAGTTATTCCTTACTAGAACATAGTGTAAACCTTGATGATGTTTTGATAAAATCCTTCTTGAACTCGGAAGGTACTTGCCGAGACACCAGTTTGGGAGTCTGCAGGGAAAATGTTCCCAGCATACTTCATGTTGATATCAGCATGTTCAGCGATATCCGTGGCAGCATTCGCGTACCTGCACCCCTGGAAGACAGCATCAACCATCGAGCGCTACCAGCTTGGATTCCTTATTTCAGCCCTTGGCTGTAACCTGTCCAACCTTTTGGTCTTCACACCCATGACCGTTGAGGTGATATACTTTATTCATGATCTTCAGCTTTTTATTTACCTCTGTTTGCTTTTGCCAAATGACACTGTATTATAGTTTGGGTATGCAGTAATCTCAGGACTAATGAGTGCATATTTTTTACGGTTCGTTTGCAATTTCGAGATTAACTATACTTGTATTTGAGGTAAGGAAAAGGAAGACACTTTGATGAAGGTTTATATTGTTATATAGGTCATGACTGCAGTTTCTGAGTACTAAATCGTTGTGGCGCATACAGGAACGTATAGATTTGTTTTTGTTTTCTTTTTGGGAATCAGGAATAGACAAACTGTCTAATCACAGAAATTTGGATGTTCGCCATTTCCAACAAATGTCTTTGCAATCTTCGCACCACCAAGATGGGTTTTGCAGAATTGCACTCAGCTTGTTGACACTTTGATTTCCCTGCCATTTTCTTTTTCTTTTTTCCTTTTCAAACAGGGTCCACTATGTTTTGTTTTTTAGTGAGCAATCCAGTGTTGGGATTTGGGAGGCCAGAATCTAGCTTTTTTATTTAGAAGCACAGAGGTATGTCTGGCCATGCGTATGAACCTTCAGAATATCTGATTGTCATGAATTTACAATGCAACTCTTTCTGTGCTTTTAGATGACAAACTTGACAAATGAGTTATCTTGACTGGATCGCTGAAATCTGCATCGAGCACAACTCATTGTACTATTCAAGTAGACAAGTACTAGCTAGGGTCGGACACAGAGATATCTTTTGGTTGGTTAAGCACTACTACTCTTTCTACCTTCAGTATCGCAGATGATGATGAAGAGGAGCCCCGCCCTTGCAGCCATGAACCGGAAGTTTGGGATGATCCACGGGCTGTCGTCTCTGGCCAACATCATCATGGCCTTCGGCTGCCTGGCCATGCACTCCTGGTATCTCTCCAGCAAGCTCGACCTGTGACTGATGAAGGCTTTCCCTTTTTGTGATGCTCGCCACGACGTAGCTGGTGGCTACAAACTCGGAGCTTAACTTAGGTCTATGTATGGAGACACTGATGTCTGTCTTGTGAGAGAACTTGAGACGAGATGTGTTGTGAATTTGAATAATGTACAGAATGTATGTAGGCGGATGATTGGTGTTTGAAATTGTTTACATAGGAAAACTCATGCTCTGATTGTGTCTTTGGCATAATATAACCAAGATAGATGGTTTGCAAGAGGTGTGGATGTGCAGAGGTGCAACTGTGCACACTTTCAGAGTTTAGATAGCCCACGCAGGCCGCGGCTAGACTAATATCTAATGGGCCCGCATGTTAGAGTCTACGTCGGTGAACTAACGCAACATGTAGCCCAAAGTCAGGTAAGCCTTTCGCGCCACGGCCCATTTCACCGGCTCCGTTATCCCGCGTTATAGTAACATCCTAGGAAGAAGGTGTGGTGGAGTCTCACGCGGACCTGTGGGCCAATGGCCGTTACGCGGACTTGTGGCTTCAGTCTCACGCGAGTCTGAACGATTGCCCTGCATCAACGCCGCAGCATCCTCCTAGCTAGCTTCAAGTCTTACGCGGACTTCACCATGAGTTCCACTGGGTTGTGGGCTGAAGACCAGGGATCCAGGCCGCATCAACGCGTACGCAGGACGTCTATGCAAGCTGCTAAGCTGTCAGAAGAAGATGGTGTGTCGTCATCACAACCACCGGAATTGGAAGACAAATCATCCCAAGCCAAAACCGCCAAGAGTGGTATATATTTGCTCGTGTCTCGGGATGATGCAGTTCGGCGGCTGGTGTCCATTACTGGGCTGGTGCTGGTGCTGCTGGGGCTGGTGCGGGCGTCGAATATGTTTCCTTTGTGGCTGCAGGAGGTGATGATGCGGCTGGTGCTGGTGCTGATGACGATGCTGCTGATGCCGGTGCTGCTGCACGTGATCAGATGGTTGTTAGAAGATGGTGTGTCGTCACAGCCACCGGAGCTGGAAGACAAATCATCCCAAGCCAAAACCGCCAAGAGTGGTATATATATGCTCGTGTCTCAGAATGATGCAGTTCTGCGGCTGGGGTCCATTTCTGGGCTAGTGCTGGTGCTGGTGGGGCTGGTGCCTTTGTGGCTGACGCCGCTGGTGCTGGCGCTGGCGCTGACAACGATGTTCATGTCTCGGAATGATGGACTTCGGTGGGTGGGGCTGTTTGGGATGGTGCTGCTGGTGCTGGTGAATCACCCCGTGCAGACTTTTAAGTTATACTTTTCAGCAAATAAATAGTATTTTTCTATCACAACAAATCAATCAATAATACTTTTAGCTATGGTTTATCAGTAAGTGAACAGAGCAATTATGTTTCCTTTTTTTTTTTGCTGCAGGAGAAGATGCTGCAGCAGCTGCTGGCGCTGGTACTGGTGCCGCTACTGCTGGTGCCGGTACAAACCCTCCACAGGTATGGACATCCACGTACAAACTATACACATGCACAATACATACATTTGGTTGGCTATATTAGTCTGTAGTTAAGCTTTTGAGGTGTTTTTTTTATCTTTGTTTGGTTGTCCGTAGAATCCTATATCAGCCAATGCTATGCTAAAAGTAGACCAAATACTACATTAGGACGTCCCCAACAAGGAACTTTTTCTAGCTATTTGATTACGTGGAGGAAGGAGAACTTCAAAAGCTAAATAGCTAGCAACAAGTTCCTCGCCTAGCTCGCACAGGTCCCTATAAATCTACTCTCTCTGCTGACCGAGACCCAGGCCATGTTTAGTTCCCCCAATTCCAGAATTTGACACTATGCAAAAAGAAGATTCTCTGTCACATCAAACTTGCGGTACATGCATGGAGTACTAAATGTTGACGAAATTAAAAACTAATTGCATAGTTTGGTTGTACTTTGCGAGACGAACGTTTTGAGCCTAATTACTCAACGATTGGATAATTATTACCAAATAAAAACAAAGCGGTGCTGTAGCTACAGTACCACCGGAAATTCGGCGGCGCCGATTTGGTGGCCGAACTAAACGAGGCCCCACTCTTGCCTTGCTGTGGGGCTCACAATTTTTTACTTTTTTTTAATTTCTATCAGCCGGCGATTTGCTTTTGCTTGTTGAGGATGCCCTTAGCTAGTATGTCAGATTTTATGTTATTAGATACTCAAGCTCATTGGTGCCAACATAATAGAATATCCTCACATTCCCTGTTTCTATTGATACATGGAGCCATATGGAGGTGATAAAAAATGCGACACACTGTGAGCAACCACAAACAATGTCACTAAACGACTAAACACAGATTGCATGTGCAAGACAACTAAAAGCCAACGCATTGCATGTGTTTATGCTGCTTCGGATTGTACTGCATTAGTCTTAATGCATGCTAAGACTGGTGCAAACAATTAATCACAAATATGCTTTCGCACCTTAGTATGACAAATAATGCTTATTTTTTTATTTACCTTAAATACTACATGCCATTAATTTGCCATATGCGTATACGTAATGATAACATCGAGAGCAATA